ATAATATTAAGTTTATAATCTATCATATTGCTTAAGATATTAGAAATGGACTAACAAAAATTGTCAGAAATTGAATAACCTTTGTTGATAGGTTAAAATAATGCTTAATCTTAAGTAAATTTAACAAAGAACCAAAATTTATTGCCAGAGGACTCTTAATTGATAGCAAATGATGGATAAAGCTTTAACTAATACTAGATATTAGATAGTTATTCAGAAGTTGATTATTCAAAGATAGAGACTAGAAAAAAGTCTATTCCATTCAATTTTGAAAAAATTGATAAAGATATTATTGTGGAATAATACATATTGCTACCTCATAGAAACTTATTGATAGTAGAATATTATGATCAGGATGATGAAAGCATAAACCTTGTTGATTTCATTGATTTTAATACTTTTAAGATTTTGAATACTGTTTAATTAAAGAGGATTGAGAACTCAGAAATGAGAATTTTCCACAAAGTCTTCAATGATGTTGATTTTATTTTTTATCATGAAAACTATCAACTACTATACTTAATTTTGCTAGATGATTTTATGTAATAAAAATTAGATTAAAATTTGTTTGAATTTAAAATTTCAAAGGCAAGGGGCATAATCAGGTACGTTAATATCATAGATGAATTCAACTTCATTATTCAAATTCCTGGCAGTGCATTATTGATAAAACCTAGCATTTCTCTTGTTAAAATGACTCCAACCGATAAAATTTGTTTTAATATTGCAGTCATAGATGAAAAGAGTTATGAAAATTAAATCAAGAACTAACCCCAAAAAGTATTTTTAAAAGACTTAAATCAAAGCTTCTATCAGTTTTACAAAGGTTATTATAGTATGGTAAGCTATTAACTTAAAAATCACTTAATTTTTCATAAATTCTCTAAAACCATGCTTGTCGACAAAATTTCTCTTGAAATAACTTAACAATTTGATAAGATCTATTATGCAATAGGATATAAAGACTTATATGAATTCATTTTAGACTAAGATTATAATATTTACGATACCACTACTAATCTTAATACTTTAACTCTCAATAAATTGAACTAAATTAGTCATTCTAGAATTAAATCAATGCATCAGATAATAACTGCATCAAATAAATTCGTCATTATTTCAACAGATCAAACTGATGACTATTTACTTAAAGTCTTTGATGCATAAACATTTCAATTAATAGATGAGATTTAGGGATTTTTGAATAAAAAAATCTTTTTTCTTAACATCGACATAAAGAAAAATACGGTTTATTATAGTTTTCATGAGAGTGAAGAGATATATTATTTCAAATTTAGCACAAACATGAGGGAATGCTATGATATCACTCCTGTTCTTAATAAATCACAACCTTTAGCTGTAAAAGAATTTTAATTTGTAAAAAACAACTATGTTATTTTCAACTCAAAGATACCAGATATGAAAGGAATCTAAGACTTAATTACTGGAGATTAAAAAATCATATCAAGTAAATATTTGGGCTCATGTGATAGATACTTAGCCATTAACAATGACTTCTTTAGAAATGAAAATTTCGATGAATTGATTCAAAAAGAGTATAAACCATTAATAGATTACGAAAAAGTCGAAGAAATTAAATCAGAAGATATTCTGATAAAATCTGATTCAAATTATGTATATCTTAATGATAACCGTTACCTTTTATGGACTTCATTCAGGAGATAATCAGACCAAGATATATACGCTTATGGAAATACTTTTTGCATAATGTATAATGAGTTTCTTGAAAAATTATATGTCTGTGATTAGTAAAAAGGTAACAAAATTATTTATTTTGATAAGCAAATCTAAGAATTTAAAACACTATAATTTAATGATTAACTTTAAATCGACGGTGATCCTAAATTTGCAATTCTTAATGAAAACTTAGGCTATTTTTTGATATAGTAGAAGTCTAGGGTCATTGCATTTACTCTTTCAAATGGAAAGTTGATTAAAGAAATTTCAGGGGAAATGAAGTTTAACTCTGTCTATGTGAAGGACAATTATGTTTAAGTAAATTCCGAACACGGTACGAATATTGTATTCTTTAAGAATAAAACTGTCGACAAACTCATTTAGTTTTAATATCTACAATAATTTAAGAATCTAGTATTGATTGGAACTTATTAAAACGATAATGCAAAGTCTCACTTTGTATTAAAAAGTTAAGATTAAATCTCTACTATGACATTACTTTCATTTGAAGAAATGTTTAATCAAGAACTACTTATATAACCTGTATTTCCATCTTTTTATTTTGAATATGCTTTCAAAATAGTAATTGATTTAAGTAAGATAGAGATCTTTATTAAAGGTGAATAGTAATCAGTAGGATTTTTTGATATTCGTATTACTGATCAACTAATAAATGATTATAGGAGAGTTATAGGCTTAACTAATGAAGAAATCATCAAGGAGTTGACATTAAATGTCGAAAAATATTTAAAATTCATTTCTGGATATGGAACAGTATTTAATTTATTTTAGAATAATTTAGCTGCTCTTGAAGTCATAATTAAATAGTTATCAATAAAAGATAGGCAAATCTTACCAATTCTTATTTGCTAGAAAATGCTGGGTGGAGAATCTCCTTTAGATTTCTCAATTAAGAATCATCAGCAAAAGATCATTAATTTAATTCTTTCTATGATTACTAAGTACTAAGATCATATTTTGTTTAACTAGCTTATTGACAAGAATTTATGCGAACTTATCAAGCAATAGATAGACCTACAAGAATACTTTCAAAGTAATCTTCCTAATTATGAAATTCTTGATTTGTCTTTTCCAAGTCAGCATCCTGATGAGCAAGAACTGATTGAAGGAATTACATTGGATAATCCTAAAGATGTCCATTCAAAATATGATGAATTATTTGGGAGAAAATTAAACAATAATGCACAACAAGATGACTTTGTCGCTTCTATTGAATATCATTTGATAAATCTACCTGTTACTTTGAAAGAGAAACCCTAATAATTGATGAATGTGTTGAGTTAAACAGAAAATCCTGAATACTTTGAAAACAAAACCATTTAAACTATCATAAACTTTAAATGGAACTAGTATACCAAATAATTCTACAAGAACAGATTCTATGTATACTTGATCTTCATGGCTTCTTTTATATTCGATATTTTCTATTCAACTTATGCTTCTTAAAGTAATTCAGACCCAACCTAATAAGATGGTGAAGCAGTTTTAGAAACAACTCCTCCTAATATATGGCTCAAAATCTCCACAAAAGTAATCTGCGGTGGTGTTCTTATCTACTTCTTAATTTATGAGATATAACAAATCAGAGTTTAAAAAGGAGAATACTTTAATGATGGATGGAATTACTTTGACTTTTCTCATATTCTTGCGTTTACAACATTCTGTATATTGGACTTTACAAGTGAGAGCCAAGAATACCTTATCTTGATCAAAATTCTAGTTATTGTCTTGTCATTTATGAAACTATTTTTCTTTTTGAGAATCTACGATGGATTTAGTTTCTTAGTACAAATGATGGCTGGAGTGTTCAAGGACCTCAAATACTTCATGATGTTCTTCATTATCATTATCTTGCAATTTGGAATGATATTCTTAGTCCTATTCTAAGCCAAGTAGATTGATGAATACAACGGTATCAACAAATTGGCATACTTTTTAATGGCGTTTAGAATATCATCTGGTGACTTCCAGTTAGATGATTATCATAGTCAAGAAGATGGTCTAGTTATTTTTACTTGGATGATCTGGCTAGTTGCTGTCTTGACTTTGAATATTGTGTTCATGAACTTTATTATTGCTGTTATTTCAGAATCATATGAGAGAGTCATGTAAAAGCTAGTAGCTGAATCTTATAGAGTAAAAGCTCATATGATTGTCGAAAGAGAATAACTATTTAACAGAGAGGGGTTGGAGAGCATAAGTAACTTCCCAAATTTTATAGTAGTCAGAAGACCATTAAACACAGAGACAAATGATGCTGGGGAATGGTAGGGATTCATTAAAGATCTCAAATATACCATTAGAACTACAGCTGCAAAATCTAAAGGAGAACTTATCCAGAGTCTTCACTCAATTCAGACCTAAAATGTAAAAAATGGTCAAAAACTTTAGAAAATTGATGAAGCTTTTGAGTTAAATTCAAAGAATGTAAGTCTTGAAGAAAAAATTTCTAAATTGTAGTAGAATAGCAAAAATGACTTTGACCTTTTAAAATCAGAATTCAACACTAAAGTTGATAGTATTGATGATCAAGTAAAAGGTCTGAAGAATGATATGGAATTCATTAAGAGTTCTTTGACCTAAATTCTTCAAAAAGTTGATCAGTGATAATCAACTGAATTATGAAGATTAAACCGTCATATGACTATGTTTCAAAAATAATCATAGGTAACTTGCTTATGTTTATTGAAACTTAGAGACATTTAAACAATTATTTTCAAAGAAATAAATTGATTTCTTAATTAATAGATTCATTTAATTTCCTAATCATAGAAATACTCATCAATTTTTCAATTTAGTAACGTTTTAATGCATATTCTAATA